GGTGCAGGCGCTGGTAGCCGAGCAGCGGCCTTCCAAGCCTCGCCACATCTGCAGCGAGTGCGGCCGCAGCTTGGCCAGCCACTCTGCCCTCGTCCGCCACTGCCTTATCCACACCGGAGAGCTCCCGTACGCTTGCACAGAGTGCGGGCGGCGCTTCCGGCAGTCCTCGGCCCTCGTCCGCCACCTCCGGGCCCACCGGGGCGAGCGCCCGTACGTCTGCGGCGAGTGCGGCAAGGCCTTCGGAGTCCGCTCGGCCCTCGTCCGCCACCAGCGGGCCCTGCACACGAGCGAGAGGCCCTACGTGTGCGGAGAGTGCGGCAAGGCCTACGCCGACCTCTCCGTCCTGACCAAGCACCAGCTGATCCACGTCAACGGGCGGCCATTTTCCTGCCCCGACTGCGGCCAGGCGTTTGGGCACCGCACCACCTTGAACCAGCACCGGCGCATCCACACCGAGGAGCGGCCGTACCGCTGCGCTGAGTGCGGACAGACCTTCCGGCAGAACTCGGCCCTGGCCAACCACCGCCAGGTCCACTCGGGGCAGCGCCCCTTCTCCTGCCAGTACTGCGGCAAAGCCTTTGCCGGCCGACCCACCCTCGTCCAGCATCTCCGGACGCACACGGGGGAGAAGCCGTACAGCTGCCCCGACTGTGGCCGCCAGTTCAGCACCAGCTCCAACCTCCTGCAGCACCGCAGGAACCACCTGGGCGAGCGCCCTTTCGCCTGCTCTCTGTGCGGCCGGCGCTTTGCCCGCCGGCCTGACCTGGCCCGCCACTACGTCACCCACGCCGAAGGCAGCGTGCGGCCCCACCGCTGCGGGGAGTGCGGGAAGCGCTTTGTGGACCTGGCCGACTTGGAGCAGCACGGGGCCACGCACCGCGGCGAGCGGCCCTACGTCTGCAGCTTCTGCGGCAAGTCCTTCGCCGAGGCCGCCACGCTGGCCCGGCACCGCCGATCGCACCTCCCCACAGCTCAGCAGGCCTACAAGTGCGAGGTGTGCGGGCAAACCTTTGGGCAGAGCTCCGACCTGCTGGCCCACGGGCGGGTGCACAGCGGCGAGCGACCCTACGCCTGCGGGGACTGCGGCAAGGCCTTCGGGCGCAGCTCCAACCTGTCGCGCCACCGGCGGGTGCACACCCACGAGCGCCCCTACGTCTGCGGCGACTGCGGGAAGAGCTACACCCAAAGCACGCACCTCATGGAGCACCAGAGGCTGCACACGGGCGAGAGGCCCTACGAGTGCGTGGACTGCGGGCGCTGCTTCGGCAAGAAGGGACACTTGGACTCTCACCGGCGGGTGCATCGCCTGTTGCCTGGGTCTCCCAGAGGGGCTGATGGGGTGCAAGCCGATTCGGGGAGCCCGGAGGGCGTTTGAAGGAATCCTGCAGGGGTGGAAAATTGTGGGTTGTGGGTGGGACAAGGAGTCAGAGCAAGGCTAATATCTGAGAATGGCTTTTATTCATTAGATTTCTATACCGCCTTTCATCTGAAGGTCATAGTTCAGTCAGTAGAGCATTAGACTCTTAATCCCAGGGTTGTGGGTTCGAGCCTCTTGTTTCCTGCATTTGCGGGGTTTGGATTCAATGACCCCCAGGGTTTCCTTTCTTGATTCTATGATCACAGGGCGGTTTGCAATATAAAAACACAAGAATATGTACCATAAAAAACAAACGAAGACAATAACCCCCTCACCGTTATTAGCCCCGCCTGAATCTCCCCGCAGTGATCTCCTAAGGATAAAGAGCACGTGCAGAATTCCTGGAGGGGGTCCCCAAAGTGTGTGGCTGCATCACCACAACCAGCTCCCGTGTGTTCCTGGCCAGAGGCAGGCAGCTGTGAACCCTCTGTACCTTTCGGGTTAGTGTTTTCGTGGGGTGGGGAAGAGTGCTTTTCAATTGCCTGATGTTAAGCGTATGCTCGGTAGAGGGCGTGTTGGTCATAAAAGGTTGGGTAAAGGTTAGAACAGGGGTCAGCAAACTTTTTCAGCAGGGGGCCGGTCCACTGTCCCTCAGACCTTGTGGGGGGCTGGACTATATATTTTTTTTGGGGGGGGGGAATGAACGAATTCCTATGCCCCACAAATAACCAGAGATGCATTTTAAATAAAAGGACACATTCTACTCATGTAAAAACAGGCTGATTCTCGAACCGTTCGCAGGCCAGATTTAGAAGGAGATTGGGCCACATCTGGCCCCCGGGCCTTAGTTTGCCTACCCTTGGGCTAGAACAACTTTTCCCCAACCTGGCACCTTTTAGGCGTTTTGGACTACAATTCCAGTCATCCTCTACTGTTGCCCCTGCTGGCTGTTGCTGATGGGAATTGCAGTCCCAAAACATCTGGAGGGTGCCAGGGCACTTTGGGTAAAGCTGAGCTACAATGCAGGGGTTAATGGGTGTATCCTGTCCGACTCAGAGAAGGCCCAGTGAGGTTAATGGATACTACTAACTTAAGAGTCAGTAATTTCAGTGGGTCTTCACCGTGTAGGACCAGCCTTGGATACAACCCTAAATACCCAGCACACAAGATCTTGCCCATATCATCCTTCCAGATTTGGGATTTGCACACAGAAGTCTTGGGCTTGTGGGCCCTAACTGCTATTGGATTCCACTACAAGGCAACCCTGCTGGGTTCAGCTCCTCTCTCCTTCCTTTCTGACTTCTTCAGCCCCATTTTGCCCTTTCAAACTGTAGAGAGAAACCAAAATTTCTGTCTTCCGTCACTGCCTTTTGAGATGTTTTAAGTATTCTCCTACCTTCGTGTCAGAATGCCAGGGACCCCCTTAGAGATCGGAATCCAAGGAGGTGAACTCTGGAAAAAGGAAGTTTAGAATTGGACTGTGTGTAATGTCCTCAAGAACCCCTTCTCTACCTCGCACCCCTCGAGCTGATAACGCTTTTGCTTTGGTTCTGCAGATAACATCAAATAATCTCCTTGTTTATGTATTCAGTAAGAGGTTGAGAATGTCTGTGCAAACCCGTGTGAGAGTTATTTCTTGTTTGAAGAAAGCAGCTAAAAATATATTTGGAAAACACGAATCCTGTGTTTGGCTGTGCAATTGTGTCTTGAGCCTTTAGGGCAGAGGTTTTCAACCTTTTTGAGTCCACGGCTCCCTTGACCCACTGCATTCTTTCTGCGGCACCCTGTGGGGCTCAGGAGCCCAGTTATGTCACCCTTTGCCTGCAGAGCTGGCAGCCTCGCGTCCCTTTTCAAACACCCTTCCTTGTGGAGTGTTCCCTCAGCCTCCTCTCTCCTCCCCTCTCCTTGGGAGTCCTCTGGGCAGCTGCAGCTGCCACCCCTGGTCTCTGAGCTGCCTCCCTTGCCCCAAGGAGAGGTGCCTCCTCACACTGCCCCACAGCGAGGCAACCCCTGGCCAACCCCAGAGGTGCCATTTGCCTGGGGAGCTTGTAGCCAGGGCTGCTGCATCAAACAGCCGCACAAGCCTTTGGTAGGCAGAGACATGAGAGGGCATCAGGAGGGAGGAAAGGAAAGAGGGATAGAGGCCAGTGTTGCTTGTGGCACCCCGATCATCATTCAAGGCACCCCAGGGTGCCACGGCACACTGGTTGGAAACCACTGCTTTAGGGAATTAAGCAGCAACAACAAAAGCTGTTCCAAAGCTTTAGTGGGGAAAGAACGGTAGATTTTCTTGACTGTGGTAAGTTAATAAATTCTAGGCTTCCTGTGAGCTCAAAGCTTCCACCCGAGGAGGATGACGTTGCTTCCATTTTTCCAGTCTGCATTTGTTGGGAGTGGCTAATTCTACTGAGTTGGGTCATTCAGTCACTCCCACTGCAGAGGCTCAGTCAGTAATGCAGGCCTTCTCCAGACTATTGCATTTAAAGCAGCAAACTGCTCTAAAGTCCTGGCTTTCCCCCAAAGTGTCCTGGGAACTGTCATTTAAGAGTGCTGTAGGTTGGTAGGAGACTCTCTGTCGCCCTCGCAGAGCTATAATTCGCAGAGCGATTTCACAGTCCATCCCTCATCCCAGGGGAAGTGACATCTTGTGTCACCTGAAAGACTAGCAAGATTCATAGATAGGCTTTCATGGGTTCAAGGCCACTTCATCCTATGCCTGAAGGGAAATCTTAAATTGGTAGATACTGTAAGAGAGAAAATGGTAAGGTGGGAGTTGAAAATACGGTCAGTGATAATCAGTTTACATGCATATTTTAAAAACCCCCACACCTATAACCTTGAGATGATTTGTTGAGAATATTATAGTCACACCTGGCAGTGAGGCAGGGAACCATTAGGAAGAAACAGCCACGGATAGCACAGCTATTCTGTCATTGGAACCAGGCAGAGGGCCTTCTTGGTAGTGGCGCCCCACCCTGTGGAATGCCCTCCCACTAGATGTCAAAGAAATAAACAACTATCTGACTTGACATCTGAAGGTAGCCCTGTTTAGGGAAGCTTTTAGTATTTGATGAATTATTGTATTTAAATATTCTGTTGGGAGCCACCCAGAGTGGCTGGGGAAACCCAGTCAGATGGGCGGGGTATAAATAATAATAATAATAATAATAATAATAATTAAACACGTAGGCAGTTCAGTTGGGGAAACAGAATGGCAAGATTTGGTGCCTCGCAGACCTCTGCACCGGGGCTTTCCCTGCCCTGCTGCCCCGAGTGGCTCCGCATAGTCCCTGGAAAAGCTGCCAACACCTGCCGGACAGGCAGAAGTCCAACCGGTGAAGTTTTTCCCCATTACTGCACCGCCAATGGACTTAGGAGCGGCTTTTCTTCCCCACGCAGGAAAACAAAGGTCCTCGTGTCGCTCCCAAAATCCGCAGCAAATAGAGCGACGCCTTTTCTGATTCCTGCCAATGCCGCTGCTTCCAGGTGCGAGGAGAGCTTTGGCTCCGCCCCCGCCATTTGGTTCCCCCAATCTCTCACCTCTCAGTGGTTCCCTCTCTCTGCCTCTCTGCGATTGGCTCATTGGAGCGAGCGAGGCGGGATTTTCCTTTTTTCTTTTTTTTTTGGACGAGCCGCCGCTTAGAATCTTCGCCGGCTGAGGCCACGCCCTCCCGCGTTCTGATTGGCCGAGGCGGGTTCGGAGCGGTGACATCCGGGCACTCTGGGGGAGGCGAGGTAAGAAGGAGGGGTCGGCGGCCAGGGCGAGGGAGTGGCGGACCGGAGAGGGAACCGCCCAAGTCTGCCGGAGGGCTGCTGCGCCTCCCCTTGCATTCTGGCAGGTGAGCGAGCTCCTTTCATTGCCCCCCTCCCTTCTTCCCGCCCCCCCTCCATTAAGAAGCACGGCGAAGGGGTTCAGGGTTCAGCCTTTCCCAGTGCAAGATCCCTTCCTGCCTTTGCAATGCTTCTTTCTCCTCATGAGAAGTATAAATAATAAAATTACTACTACTGTTATTCTCCTCCTCCTCCTTTCCTCCGCCCGGTACGCCTCCTCTTTCCCCTTTCCGCCCCCCGAGGACCAAAAGCCTCGAAATTAAGATCTCCCCTTCTCTCCGCCCTCCCCTCCACCCACTGCATGGCGGAAGGCAGCCCCTCCTTTTCTATTCCATAATATTCCCTATTCTTCCTTAGTGACATCTCCAACCCCAACTCTCCCCACCGCCCGCTTCTGATGGATCCTTATCGCAGCTGGTTTGTAAGGAGATAGGGAGGGGGTAGCCCTTTTCTCTTCTAGCCCATAATAGCCTCCATTCCCATTTACTTTCCGGTGGGGGTGGTTGTGATGGGCTAAGATGCTCTCTTTGGCATCTTTCCCTTTCCCTCATTCGCAGCATTCCACCACATGTCAGGTGGGGGCATAATGTCTTTGCTCTGACCATCCCATAATGTCTCCCTTCCTCGCTTATCTCAGACCCGGCTGGCATTTCCCCCCCAGCCCCCCCAATCGTTTTTCTCTGTCCCACGAAATTAAAAAGAATGGCAGCTACCATTGTTTGTTTGCCTTCCATTCACCATTCCCTGCTGTCTGTCCTTCCCACCTGCCTCCCCCTCAATATCCTGGGTGACGATGGGGAACCTCCACAGACCTGTGTGTTGATCTCCTTTTGCTTTGTGCAAGCAGCTAAGGATTATTATTCTGTGGGATAGTGTGTGTCTAATGTGGGGCTCCAGGTTTTCTGAAATAAGGAATAAATCCCATTCAGGGATAAGGTATTTGTTACTTTCATCCTCTAATCCCATTTTTTTTGCTCTTGATTTGCAAATCACTGTACTGTTGGCCTATCTTAATATATTTTGCCTAGGTGACAGCTATAGCAATTAAAGTCAACTACCCGGGGGTGGGGAAATAAACCACATTGAGTAACTGATATCTCTAAGTAACTTTGGCACATGCCAATATATTTGAAATCTAGTTCTTCTTTCTGTTCATCAAGGACCTTGAGTTGGGGAACTATAAAACAGTTAAATGCTGATTAAAACGTTTGGAACACATAACGTGAACAGCATATTTTAAAAAACAATGCCTCTCAGTATCACTAACATACTCTGTCTAGGACTGCTTTTTAGGCTGGTCTGGAAGCTGTAACTGATATAAAACGCAGCCACTTCGCTACTTACCGGGAAATATTATTACTGTACATATTATATCACGCTTAAAGGAGTTATACTGGCTGCCCCCAAGCTACTGGGTCATGTTTGATATTTTGGTATGGACCTAGAAAGCCCTAAATATCTTGGGACCAGGATACCTTTCTCCCTGTTTTCCTACACCAGGAGTGAGGACCTGGATTAAGCCCCCCACAACCTTGATAAGTGAGTGGAGGTACCCCCTGTCAAACTTCAAAGGGGTTGTGGTAACATCCGATTGTTGTGTCCTTACCTGCTGCACACCTGAAATTACTTACGTCAAATGTGTGATAGGAGGGTGTGGGTGGGTGGATGGGTGGGAATGGCCTTGGGACCAAATTGTGACCCATTCCGGGCCTAACTAGGCTTGTGGGCTGGAGCTTCCCCACCTCTGCCCCACATGATCATTATGATCAACTGACGAGTCCCTCCTGGTTGCATCACTGCCTATGGAAGTGCAGTAAACAGTCATAGCGGAAGGACTTTTCCTGTGGTGATTCCTGCGCTGTGGGACTACCATTCCCTTGACAAATGCACACATTAGTCATATTCAGGTGTCCTTTTAAAAACACAGATCTGTTTCTGTCTATCAAATTTATTTATCAAAGTGATATCATGCCCATCTTCCTGAATGACCTCAGGACTGCCAATGTCTGCTTTAAATGTTTTTAATGTCTGCGGCCTTTGCTGGTACCTTACCATTTTAACTGTGCCCTAGTCTTACAGTTTTACACACACACTCAAACACCCCACTGCCCCGTATTATAATGTTTTTGTACCCATTTGGACATTGCTGTACATGGCCTCCAGAATTGATGAGGCAGGCTGTATAGCAGTATTTTTTAATAAACAAATGTTAATCAGTAAATACTTTCACTGTGTGTCAAAAGCTGTGCAATGAAGGAGCTGAATGAGATGGTGCCCCTTGCTAAGGAGGGCGGTGGTCCTTCCTTAAACACATTTCGCCTTTTCTGACAGGAGCCCACAGACCATGGCGGAGCCACCGATCGAAGATGATGGCGAGGAAGCGGCTCGAGCCCAAGCCAAGCCAGAGCCGGCTCACCAGGCCACGGTGGCAGCCAAGAACCTGGCCATCTTGAAGGCGCGCTCCTTCGACGTCACCTTTGAGGTGGGGGATGAATATGAGGTCATCGAGACGATTGGCACCGGCGCTTACGGCGTAGTGAGCTCGGCACGCCGCAAGGACACAGGTAAGGGAGGGAGGAAAGCGCCAGGGCTGGATGGAAGCTGAGAGGATGCCGTTGTTTGGTCTCTAACTGTGCGCAGAGGTGGGGCCCCTGCAAATGGATGCGAATAAGTCTCTCCACAAGGGCTATTTTCTTCCTCCACTGTTGGAGGCAATTTGCCTATGAATACCAGTTCCTGGGAATCCCTAGTGGAAAGAATGCTCTTGTGCTCAGGTTCTCTAGACACCTGGTTGTCCACTGTCTGAGCCATCCCCCAGCTGACTATTGAGGCTTTGGGGCCTTGTCCTGATTGGCTGCTCTGTGCTGTGATGCCCCAGGGATTTCTTTTCTCTCCGGCTCGACTCATTGGAGCCTGGCTGGGAATAAAAACAGAGTTTGGGGGTGGTGGTGACGCACCCATTGATGTTAAAAACTGAACTGTAACTGTACCCTTCGTGATCATATGCCACGCATCGCTTTCCTCTTGGTATGTTATCAACTCGGTAAATTGCATAGCTGTATCCTGTCGTGTGGCGCTGTGGCTTAAACCACAGAGCCTAGGGCTTGCTGATCAGAAGGTCAGCGGTTCGAATCCCTGTAACTGGGTGAGCTCCCGTTGCTCGGTCCCTGCTCCTGCCAACCTAGCAGTTCGAAAGCACGTCAAAGTGCAAGGAGATAAATAGGTACCGCTCTGGCAGGAAGGTAAATGGCGTTTCCGTGCGCTGCTCTGGTTCACCAGAAGTGGCTTAGTCATGCTGGCCACGTGACCTGGAAGCTGTACGCCGGCTCCCTTGGCCAATAAAGCGAGATGAGCGCCGCAACCCCAGAGTCAGCCACGACTGGACCTAATGGTCAGGACTCCCTTTACCTTTACCTTTATCCTGTCGTGTGGCATCAGACTAGGACCTGGGGGAGAGCAGGGTTCAAATCCCCACTCAGCCATGAAGCTCACTGGGTGACCTTGGGCCAGTCTCTGCCTCTCAGCCTGACCTACCTCACAGGGCTGTTGTGAGGATTAAATGAGGAGGGGGAGCACCATGTACACCACCTTGAGCTACTTTTGCGAGGGAATGCGGGATAGAAATGCAATAAATAAATATTTCTTCGTTTACAATTGTGACAGCTCACCATGTTTAAACTAATTTTTCTTTATTTTTTCTGTAATCCGTTATTAAAAATGATTTTTAAAAAATTGAAAAATCAAAGGATTCCCTCCCTAAAAAAGAGAGCAGTTCTCTCTCTCTTTTTTTTAAAATATTTTTATTGAGTTTCTTTTCTTAGGGTCATAGACGCAAGATTAAAGCAAGAAAATACTAGAAACAAAAACAAAGAAAAATGATAAAAAGATTATTACAATCCAACTTTCAATAGTTTTTCCAATATTCCATATGGACTTCCCCACATCCTCACGACTCTGCGTTCTTTGCAATAAAAGTTTCAGCAATTTGTTACCTTGTTTCTTAACTTACTGTATCTTTCAGTTATTATGTTTCTAAATTCTCAATATTATATCCCAACTTTGTACATTTAAAGTTAACATAATAAAATTGTTTCATATTTACCACCTCTTTTTTCTTGTCTTAATTTTCAGTTTACCTAATCAAGTTGCTAAAGCAAAAATTTCCTAATCGTGCATATTTCTTAACATTCGTACAACTTATAATGTTTTTGCAAATAGTCCTTAAATTTTTTCCAGTCCTCTTCCAAAAAGAGAGCAGTTCTCAATTCTTCACATGCCATATGTGAACGAGACAATCGCATGTCAAAGTATACTGGGCTGCCCCTTCACATCTAATTTGGCTCAGCGTGTGAAGCAGATGGGGCTGGTTTTAAACCATAGTGGGAGACATCAGGTGCATTGAGCCTAGCCTAGCCTTCCTTACAGGGTTGTTGCGAGGGGGAGAAATACCATAACGCACTCCAGGGGAAGGAGGGAAAGAGCAGGTGAGTGACGCGTCCGGATGCATGAGCCGTATCCCTTTCTGATTTAACGCTTTGAACCTGTTTCCCCTGCTCTTCCCTTGCCAGGCCAGCAGGTGGCGATCAAGAAAATCCCCAACGCTTTCGATGTGGTGATGAATGCCAAGCGCACTTTGCGTGAACTGAAGATCCTCAAACATTTCAAGCATGACAACATCATCGCCATCAAGGACATCCTTAAGCCCTCTGTGCCTTATGTGGAATTCAAATCTGTGTAAGTGCTATTCTTTCTCAGTTTCCTCCCAGTATCCTCATTACTATGTACTGGGCTGGAATGGCAAAATTAACTGCCAAATCAAGAGGGCATAGTGATGAAGTGTTTAAGGAAGAATGGAGACCACTGATCTATCAAATTATCACCATAATAATAATAATAATAATAATAATAATAATAATAATAAAAATTATATAACAACAACAACAACAACAAGAACAACTTATTTATACGCTGCCCTCCCCAGCCAGAGCTGGGCTCAGGGCAGCTAACACCAGTAAAATTACAATAAAATCATAATAGGAAAAAAGAAGTCGCTTGCAGGATTTGAAATATAAGCAGTAGATTATTGAAAGATTTAATGGTAGTGGGATTTAGATAATACAAATAGATGTGCTACAAAACAGCTAATAAAAAGGAATAAAAAACAAACATCGGGAAAGAAGGGGCGGGAAGTCAAGAAGATACTTTGTATGCTTAAAAAAATGTATATGTTGATAAACGCTTTGAAATGTTTTTGGAGACAATAAAAATGATATGAAAAGGAATTCTGGATATAATGGAAGAGGTAAAGGATTTGGATTATCATAAAAGATGCGGGAGGAAAGGATTAATAATAGGACCACAAGGGGAGTACGTAAGTCCAGGAGATTCTTTGGAATCTTGTTTTTATGATTTATGTTTGATATATCTGTAAAATTTTAATTTGAAAAACCAAATATATAAATTTTATATTAAAAAAATGATATGAAAAGAGAGAGCGTGTGTGTGTGTGAGAGAGACAGAGTCTGGCCAAAAGGCCCCCAGTGAATATTGTGGTGGAACAATATTCAGGTTCTCTCCTTGACGGACCACGCCTGCTCTTCCCTTGGCCAGGTACGTTGTGCTGGACCTGATGGAGAGCGACCTGCACCAGATCATCCACTCCTCTCAGCCCCTCACCTTGGAACACGTGCGCTACTTCCTCTACCAGCTCCTCCGGGGCCTCAAGTACATCCACTCGGCCAACGTCATCCACCGGGACCTGAAGCCCAGCAACCTCCTGATCAATGAGAACTGCGAGCTCAAGATCGGCGACTTCGGCATGGCACGCGGCCTCTGCACCAAGCCAGACGAGTACAAGTACTTCATGACCGAGTACGTGGCCACGCGCTGGTACCGGGCCCCGGAGCTGATGCTCTCCCTCCACGAGTACACCGAAGCCATCGACATGTGGTCGGTCGGGTGCATCTTCGCCGAGATGCTGGGGCGGAAGCAGCTGTTCCCGGGGAAGAACTACATCCACCAGCTGCAGCTGATCATCACGGTCCTGGGGACCCCTCCGGCCAAAGTGGTCCACTCTATCGGGGCCGACCGCGTGCGTGCCTACGTCCAGAGCCTGCCGTCGCGCCAGCCGGTGCCTTGGGAGAGCCTCTACCAGAACGCCGACCGCAAGGCCTTGGTCTTGCTCTCCAAGATGCTGCGCTTCGACCCCCGCGAGCGGATCTCCGTGGTGGAGGCGCTGAACTACCCCTTCCTGGCCAAGTACCACGACCCGGACGACGAGCCCGACTGCGTCCCGGCTTTCGACTTTGACTTCGACAAGCGGGTGCTCACCAAGGAGCAGATCAAGGAGGCCATTGTGGCCGAGATCAATGACTTCCACGAGCGCCGGGAGGGCATTCGGCGGCAGATCAGCTTCAAGCCAGCCCTGAAGCAGGCGGTCATCGGTGGAGGCGGCCAGGCGTTGCTCCTCTGCTGCCGCGACGTCGACATGCCCAGCGCCGGCTCACCTCGGGCTGGAGACGGAGACTATGCCATGGCGTCTCCCGGGCCCTACTTGCTGACGGAGACGATTGACCTCACCTCTCCGCCGGTGCCGTCGGCCGTCGTGCAGCCGGAGGTGAAGGCCGAAGAGGGTGCTCCATCCGCCATTCCGCCTAAGCGGGAAGGCGCTATCTCGGACGACACCAAGGCTGCCCTCCGGGCGGCCATTTTGTCATCGACTCTCCGGCACAAGGCCAGAGGTAAGGGTTTGGAGCAAAGGAAGCTGATGTCTATCGAGCCACGCCATTGGTCCATCTAGGTCAAGATTAGCTTCGCTGATTGGCAGCGGCTCCGCAGGGTTTCTGACGGGACATTTGCAGCCCTACCTGGAGATGCTGGGAATTGAACCTGGGACGCTCTGCATGCAAGGCTTATCTCGGTGCTACGGCCATTTCCCAAGGGTTTCAAGGAAGCAGTTTGGTGCAAGGTAGCAGTGAGAGGGGATAATAATGATAATAACTTATTATTTATACCTGCCTGGTTTCTCCAGTCACTCTGGGTGGCTCCCAGCAGATTAAAAACAGAATAAAACATCAAACGTTAAAAACTTCCCAATACAGGGCTGCCTTCAGATGTCTTCTAAATGTCAGGTAGTTGTTTATTTCCTTGACATTTGATGGGAGGGCGTTCCACAGGGCGGGTGCCACTAAAGAGAAGGCCCTCTGCCTGGTTTCCTGTAACCTTGCTTCTCAGAGTGGACCTCAGTGTCCGGGCTGAACGATGGGGGTGGAGATGCTCCTTCAGGTATACTGGGCTGAGGCCATTTAAGGCTTTAAAGGTAGAAGAAGAAGAAGAGTTTGGATTTGATATCCCGCCTTTCACTCCCTTTAAGGAGTCTCAAAGCGGCTAACATTCTCCTTTCCCTTCCTCCCCCACAACAAACACTCTGTGAGGTGAGTGGGGCTGAGAGACTTCAAAGAAGTGTGACTGGCCCAAGGTCACCCAGCAGCTGCATGTGGAGGAGCGGAAATGCGAACCCGGTTCCCCAGATTACGAGACTACCGTTCTTAACCACTACACCACACTGGCTCACAGCAGCAGCACTTTGAATTGTGCTTGGAAACGTACTGGGAGCCAATGTAGGTCTTTCAGGACTAGTGTTATGTGGTCTCCGCAGCCACTCCCAGTTACCAGTCTAGCTGCCGCATTCTGGATTAGTTGTAGTTTCCGGGTCACCTACAAAGGTAGCCCTCAATGGAGTGGAGGATTTTGCCACTCTAGTTGGGGCTGATGGAACTTGTAGTCCAACAACACCCAGAAGACTACATAGTCCCCATCCCTGATCTCGTCTGTCATCCACCCTGTTTCCACCAGGCCTAGCCAGATGTTTCTGGGGAAAGCCCAAGATGAAAACCAGATCTTCACATTTGTGGGGGAAATGTTCCCCTATGAGAGCGGAGTCTTCCCAATTGTTTTGGGAGGCAGAGAAAGGGAGAGGCTGATGGGCAGCAGGACCATCTAAGCCACTTTCCCACTGCTTAACACTCTCCAGATGTTGTGGACTGCAGCTCCTGTCATGAAGGGAAGGGTAGGCTAGGTGAACTGTGGGATATTTCCAAAGATGTGCCCTGTATGAAGTGATTCCTGCAGAGCTGGACTATTGGTGGAATTCACAAATTTAGTGATTTTCCACAAGCATAAGCTTCCTAGCATGGAAAGTTATGGTGTGGTGCTGATAATGCCAAGGTTGTGGGTTCAATTCCCATTCAGGCCACCTGCATATTCTTGCATTGCAGGGGGTTGGACTAGATGACCCTCGGGGTCCCTTCCAAATCTGGAATTCTATGATACGCAGGTGAAACTGAATCGCTGACCATAGATGTAGCGGCTGCATAATACAGGGCAATGGCAAAGGCTGGGTGTTTATCCACTTCCCCACAATCTCTTCTTTTCTTCCGCAGATACACCGTCTATGGTGCCCGAGACGCCTGATATCCGCAGACCGGTCACGGCAAAGGAGCGCCAGCGCGAGCGTGAGGAGAAGCGTAAGCGGCGCCAGGAGCGAGCCAAGGAGCGTGAGAAGCAGAAGAAGGAGAAGGAGCGGGAGCGGAAGGGAATGTTGACCGAGAACGACCGGAACCTTCTGGAAAGGTGGACCAAGATGGTGGACCGTAACCAGAACAAGCCGCTCCAGAACGGGTCTGCCGTCCCGCTTCAGGCAAACGCGGCCGCCCACATCCTGCCTCAAGCCCCTCCTGCCAACCCCTTGCTGCCTCAGCCGCCCCCTGCCAGCCACGTCCCCACGACCCCTTCCGGCGGCGCGCCTGCCGACTTCCTCGCCTTCCCGGACAAGAGGGTGCCTGGCTTGTGTGGGCCCAAGCTGACTCTCGTGCCTGTGGGGGCAGAGCTGGCCCCCGTCCAGGGCTCCAGCGCCAACGTGGTCCACTTCTTCCCAGCGCAGCCGGCCCCCTTCTTGGTCACTGCCCCGGCGTGTCCAAAAGCCGCCCCCCCAAAACCGGAGTGCCTCCTCGGCGTCAAATACACCTCTGGGCAGATCTTCCAGGGCCCTTACGGCATGGCGGCCCTCAACGCCTGGAGTGGCGTCTCCCAGGCACCTGAAAACTGGGCCGTGGCCGGGCAGCTGCCGGTGACTCAGCCGGAGGTGGCGCCCCCTAGCGGTACTCTTCCGGAACAAGCTGTGAGCTACGGACCCAGGGCCGGCGCGGAGCAGCCCCTGTTTCTGGCAGAGGTGGGGGGCAAGCCTGAGCTGCCACCGCAGGGTTTGGTTGGGGACGAAGCCGGGGGACCCGCCCAGCCCCACATGCCCCCGGGGCTGCCGTCAGAGCCTCCGGATATCAACGTCGTGACGCAGCAGTTGTCTAAATCCCAGGTGATGCCTTTCTTCTGTATGCTGAAGGGGAAGCTCTTGCTAGTTGCTCTCTAGAGAAATGGGGGGGTACCCTTTTCGTTTTTGGTGCTTGGAGAAACTGGGGGTCACTTGCAAAGGAGGTTGTGGTCACCTGACTTTTTTCCAGGCAGCCCCTCAAGAGCTCATTTGATCCATGCCAGTCTCCCTCTTGCTGCTTCACTAACTAAATTCACTCTCTCTCTTGTTTATTACTTTTTTATTATTAAATTTTCTGTGTTACAATTTAGAACATTCATTTAAACACCCTTAAAATACCAATGACTTCCCTTCTTCTCTCTCCATGGTTCATTTTGCATAGCATTTTGCGTACTTTATATTTTATATAAACTAAACCTTTCAGAATTCCATTATTGCTTCCATCAAAACTTATTAACACTGTTGAATTTATCTTAATGCTGCCAACATTTTGCACTAACTAAATTCTCTGTATCCTAGATCCATAGAACACTGGTATTGACTAAATTAATAGTGTTTACTATTAATAGTATTTAATCGCCTTAGCCAACTTTCCCTGTTTGATTTCAGTGGATCTTAAGCACAACTAAATTATCTGAATTTGGACCCTGGTTTGTATGTTTGTTTTTATGCATTCTGTGTTTTTTATATTGTAGTTTTATGTTGCGAACTGCCCTGAGATTTACAGATGTAGGGCCGTATACACATGTGATAAAAATAAAATAAAAATATTGTTGGCTCTATGTAGCCTGGCAGAGGGGACTGTGGATGGTATTCAGCTAAAGTTTACTCAGAGCAGACCCATTTGAAATTAGTGGACTTAAGTTAGTCATGCTAGTCTTTAATTTCAGTGGATGTACTCTGCGTAAAACCTAAAATTGACTACTACTGTGCATGTTGTCCACTGATCTCTGCTGGTTCCTGATGACGATCTGCGATAAGCTGATCTCTGCACAAGGAATGAATCCACTGTTTTCTTGATTCCAGGTGGAAGACCTCTTGCCCCCTGTTTTCTCTGGCACCCCAAAAGGCAGTGGAGCTGGCTATGGGGTTGGATTTGACCTGGAAGAATTTCTGAACCAATCTTTCGACATGGTTGGGGAGAACAGAGAGAGGTAAGAGTTGCTTGCCTGGGCTTGTAAGTGGAACAGAGTTATGGGCCATTTGCTCACAGATGTTCACTAGCATGCCCATGACCTATTCCCTCAAAATCGTGGAGCTGTGGGGGTGTGGCCACAGATTGTTCGGCTACCATTGGCTTACCTGCTCTGACATCACTGAGGGCCAGGCAGCTGAGAGCTAAAGCAAAGGGATCTTTAGCTTTGGAATTCTAAGTTCAGTGGATAACTCTGTGGTTTAAATTAAAGCTTAGAAGTCTTGTCACTTGTGAGCTCTGGAATGACACATTATTAGTCACTTCAGACTTTTCCCCTAGCTATAGACAGACAGTGCGTATTGCTTACACATTCCAGTACTCCAGACTTCCTCTGCAGATAGAAATGTCTGCTCTCAGCATCCCCTTCTCTGACCAAAATCAGTGCAACTTGCCTCATTTGGATTCGTAGGATAGTAACCTGAAATATATGGATTTTGCCCAGTATCCTGCCCCTGTGTTCTTTCCTTACCAGCAGTTAACAAAGTGCGACTTCTCTAGAGAAATAAAAGAAGTGCTTTTGCTCTCTAGAGCCTTCCTGCTGATGGGATTCCCCTCCTGCAAAAGCTAGTACAGGCCCCGGGATCTGCCCTGTATCTTCAGCTGTGAAGACAGATTCGTTCTGCTTCTCTGCAGTCTCCTCCTCCCCTCTCAGCCCCAGCCAGTATGGCCCAGTGATCAGAGATGATGGGAGCTTTAGTCAAATGACACCTGCAGGACTCCAAATTCCCTTTCCCTCCTATAGAGGGTGCTCCAACGCATATAGAAATTCCAAACTTTTAAAGAGGCAATCAAAGGAAAAGGGATGGTGCCCTGACTATTCAGGTGCTCTAAACTGGTGGCCCGAAGCTTTTTACTCCATGGACCACCTGAAAATTGCTGAGGGTCTTGGTGGACCTCTTTAACAATTTTCCTGCCGGTTGTAGCAATTGCAATGCACTGTGCTAGTTAGTGTATGATTTTTTAAAATTGTATATTTACATGCAGATCAAAGTTTGGGAAGCCCTGATCTTAATTTAGCCTCTGGATGTTTTTGGACTACAGATCCCATCGTCCTTTACCAGTGGTCAGGGGCGATGGGAGTTGTAGTCCGGCAACATTTTTTTTTGCAGGCGCAAGGTTAAAGAACGTTGTCCTGGAACAGGATCTCCCAGACATGGGTCTCCAGCTGTTTTTGGACTCCCTGACCACTGGTTTTTCCAGTTAGGGATGGAGACCCAGGTTTGAGAAACCCTGTCCTACGGCATCTCCCAAGCGCCAAAAAGGGCTGTGCTCCAGGCACCCCAAAGAGGGCGCTACACTGCACAGGGCTACACTCTTGTATCCCCTCCTTCCTGCATGAAGAGCCAGACTTCTTCTTTCACCCACAGCATTATGCAAAATGGTACACTTTTGGTCAGCTGCCTTGTCTTGTCCTTCACTTGTTCTCCTCTTTCCTCCTCCTGCCTTAGTCAAGGTGACTCTGCCCCGCTCTCGGCCTCCCTCCTCGCCGACTGGCTGGAAGTCCATCGGATGAACCCCGCCGACATGGAATCCCTCCAGCAGGAACTGCAGCTGGGCTCTCCCATGATCCTCTCTGACATTCCAGACCTGCAGGACGCGTGAAAAAGTTGCCTCTCCCTTCCGCTGTCTTCCTCCTCTTTCGTTTCGGCTGGGTGCGATAAAGTCTGAGCCCCGCTTGGGTCTTCTTCACGGCCTTCTTGGCGACTCTGGCTGGGAACGTCACCGCAGTGCCTGCCTTTTTCCTTCCTTCCTTCCTTCCTTCCTTCCTTCCTTCCTTCCTTCCTTCCTTCCTTTTTCAAAGCACCAGCTGGGTTGAGCTGGTGTTTGGACTTTCTACAAAAAAGGCCTGAGGGTGGCCCTGTCCCTCCTGTGCTCCGGGTGTGTTGCAGGATGCAGGAATAAAAGCTGTTCAGGTAACAACCTCAGCCGACAACACTAAAAGGTGGATCCATTACCTGTTGTCTTACCTGTTGTCCATTACCTGCTGAGGGAATGCCTTCCTGACCCCTCACTGTGTTTTCCTTTTGCCTCATGGCCTGAGAACCGGACACCTCTCTCCTCACACTGTTTGAGGGGCGAGGATCCGTGTAAACACGTTTTCTTTTTTCCAAGTTTACTGACGACGGGAGAGAAACACGAGTGCCAAATGCGCAGCCATAGCACGCTTTGCCTTTTATAAAAAGTGTGTTGAAAGCGTTGGATCATATGAGAGGATCGCCCTGTTGCGGGGAAAGGGGTGGGGGGTGGGAATAAGGAGGTAAGATGGGCCCTATTGGATCAGCCCAGCATCCTGTTCTCACAGCGGCCAACCAGACGCCTACAGGAAGTCCTCAAAAACGACACAAGCGCGACACCGATTCTCAGCATTCGAGGGCATGTTGCCTCTCGCAGCAGAGGAATAAGCTAGCTAGCCCATGGGGTTGGCAGTTACTGACAGCCTTACCTTCCATGAATTATTGCCTCATCCTCTTTGAAAGCGTTCTAAGTTGGTGGCAGCCACCTTACAGAAGGAGCTGCCTTAATATTGAAGTAGACCAAGGGGGCTTGTCTAGCTTGGTGCTGTGCATTCTAACCTTGGGATACATCTCCCAAGATCTTGGGGAGGAAGTCTTCTGCAGGGTTCCTTGTAACTGGAAATGGCAGGGATTGAACCCTGAACCGCCCTCAGCAGACATGCAAAAATTATGGGCCCTTCCGATGTTGCTGGACTACAACTCCCATCGTCTCTGGCCTTTGGCTGACGGGGAGTTGCAATTCCCTGCCATTCCTCCCCTTTGGGACCTCTTTCCTGGCTCTGTCTAAAACGCCTGCCTTCCTGCAAGCGTGACCCATCAGGTGAAGGTGTGTCTTGGGAGCCACTGTGGTGTAGTGGTTAAGAGCGGTGGACTTGTAATCTGGTGAGCCGGGTTCGCGTTCCCCGCTCCTCCACATGCAGCTGCTGGGGGACCTTGGGCTAGTCACACTTCTCTGAAGTCTCTCAGCCTCACTCACCTCACAGAGTGTTTGTTGTGGGGGAGGAAGGGAAAAGGAGATTGTTAGACGCTTTGAGACTCCTTCAGGTAGTGATAAAGCGCGATATCAAATCCAAACTCCTCCTCCTCCTGCGGCTGCCACGTGGAAGATGGCTCAGGACAACCCCCCATGGTGCCCGCCTATTGAGCATCGGTCCCTTTAGCCCAATATTGTCCACATGGACTGGCAGCGGCTGTCCAGGGTTTCAAGTAGAGTGGTGGTCCCTAGCTGGATTTGAAATCAGATCTGGACCTGGGACCTTCTGCATGCACAACTGAGCTAATGGGAGTTCCTGCACTCTCCGCTAACTTGCCTGGCCGGCTGCTCTTGACCTGTGTGCGAGTCTCATATGAAGATGGTTTCAGGTGGCTTCCATTTGGCTGCAACAGGCAGGCCTAGTCACCAAGAAGGCCTCTGAAGCTGCCATCTTGCCAGCCCACCAGCCGTTTCTTCCCATGAGACCGTGGCGCCAAATTCGCTATGGAGGAGCCAGACTTTCCCCTTCCTCAGGAGCCGCTCTGCCGTGTTGAGAGTCCCCAGTCCCGGAGGATGCAGTGTGGCCGAGAACGTAGGGTGGTGATGGTCCTGTTTTCACCAAGACGAGGGTGCCCCAGATTTCCAGGAGTGCCTTAGCCAGCCGTCTTCCCTTGTGAGCAGCAGGCCTTGAGGCCTCGTTTACGTAAGCTGAGCTCTAGAAGACGTTACAACACGCTTGTCTAGATGAGAATTCTACATTTGGGGTGGCGGTGGCAGAGATCTCTCTTCTGCCCCCACCCAATGGAACCGTGAACATTGCATAGCAAAGGTGACCTTCCCTCTTGGTTCACTGTGGCCCACTAGGAAAACTCTGCAGCCCAGGACTGCATTGGAACATTAAACTGTGGCCTTGTTTACTTGAACTGAGATTATTTGGGTTCAGCTATTCCTGTGGCATCAAGAGTAACCAATGATGTCCTCTCTCTCTCTTCTTTCTTTCTTTCTTTCTTTCTTTCTTTCTTTCTTTCTTTCTTTCTCCCTCCTAGTCTGTCAAGGGTAACCTCGCCCCCAGTTGCATTTTCCTACAAAGGGGGGGGGGAGGGTTGGGATTTTGGCCAGATTGCAGGGTTGATTTTCGGATGCTTTCTGTGCTAGGTTAGCTGGGTGGAGGTAGAAAACGCACTTCTGAAGATTCAGAGGTCAGAGTTGAAATGGATTCTTGTGTGTGTCTGTTGTATGTACATTGTTTATGTCCGAGTCTTGAGTGCTGCTGACTGTGTGTGGTGGATTTTCTCCAAAGCGATGGTGCCATCTCGTGATGATTTTTCGTCATTAAACTTTCTATTAAAATTGTGATTTATAAAAAGCCGGAGTGGTGCAGTGTTCGTATTGTGTCTTTCCTTGTTGCCTGTAGGATTACTAGCGTGTAAGAAGGGTCCTGTTGGATGAGGCCAGTGGCCGATCTCGTTCACCTTCCTCGAATTGTAGAGTTGCAAGGGACCCTGAGGAGCATCTAGTCCAACCCCCACAATATGCAGCTGCCCCATGCAGGGATCAAACCTGCAACCTTGTCCTTATCGGCACCATGCTCTAAGTCCAGGCATGTCCAAAGTCTGTTTCAGTGGCGTAATCCTGAGTGGCACTGACTGGCAGCTCCAGGATTTCAGCCAGGATCCTCTCCCAGTGTCATCACAGTCGACAAGTGAGGAAATCAGGCATGTCCAAAGTCCATTTCGGGGGCCTAATCTGGCCTGCTGGTTTGGTTTAATCCGGCCCTTGTGGCAGTTTATTTCCTGGGGTAAAATCCTAAAAAAGCCTCAACAACTTCAATCCTAAAAGAAGCTCAATAACTCCAACCCTAAAAAAAAGGTCAACAACTTCAATCCTAAAAGAAGGTTAGCAACTTTGGTTGGATACAAATCAATATGGCTAACCTGATCCAAAACACCCACCCACCCCACTCACACACACATAAAAACAAAGATCACCACAGCCCATCACAAACAAACAACCACACCCTAGGCCAATCTCTCTCACAACCAAAGGAACGCAAGTGAATAGCACAGAACCTGCATAAGCGACGTTGACACAAAACCCCACATATATTAAGTAAAATAGAAACATCGCCACCCGACCCCACCCCATCTCCCCCCCCCCTTTCCCCCTTCTTCCTAATGTCTCAACAAATGAAACTGATCTGTAAAAAATGTTACTTGGAGAAAAAAGAGAGAGACATTGCACATACATTTGTAAACTAAGGAAATCTTTGATAAAAATGCATTTTAAAAAACCAACAACTTTGGTCGGCCCCCATGGCACTTCACTTCATCAAATCTGGCCCTCTTTGGAAAAAATTTGGACACCATGACCAATGGTGCTATCCAGCTGATGCCTGTTCTCACAGGGGCCAGCCAGATGGTTGTAACAGGACCTGAGCGCAACACCAGCTCTCCCCTGTTCTGATTCCCAGCAACTGGTTTTCAGAGGCATCATGACCCCCATGTGGGCTTGCATGCTTTGCGCCATAATTCCCCCTGTTGCCTAAACTGAGCATTTAGGCTCGTATTCAGTGCATCTCTACGTAAGCATCCCATCTACGCAAGGATTCCTGCTTGCACAACTTTTCTGTACCCAGATCTGCTCTGCCGGGGGTTGAAGAAATCCCCACACTAGATTTAGGGGACTTGCGAGGGAAGGGAGTGGTGGAAAAATCCTATTATAGGATCCTAGAGCTGGAAGGGGCGACCCAAAGGCTCATCTAATCCACAAGCAGAAATCCATGCACTGACTAAATGCTTTCTTGGCTCCTTAGTAAACATTCCCAATCAAGCCCAGGGATGGGGAACCTGTGACCTTCCAGCTGTTACTGGACTCCAGCTCCCATGAGCATCAGCCAACATAGCCTGTGATCAGGAATGATGGGAATTGTAGTCCATCAGTATCTGGAGGGCCACAACCACCCCCCTCTGTTCTAGCCTATAGTCTCTGTGACAAGACAACATGGCTATTGAAGTCTTCCCTGGTGCTCCTTTTACCGGCACGGACTGCCTTCAGCCTGGCATGGCAACGATCAACCTATATTTTGATTCAGATGCCAGCACTGGCTGTGGTTGGTTACTGCAGTGTAGGAACCTAGCAACAGGGGAGGATCAAAACAGTTCACATCAATCTACCAGCTGCGTAGATTATAGGTGGGTGGAAATTTTTGCATATCAGCAGGGAGATGCCTCACCAGCCCAGGTGGAGCTGGTAAAAATCTCACCAGAGCTCAATGAGGCCTAAATGTGACAGCTGCTGTTTTACTGAAACTGGAGACCTGTGTGGACAAGCCCCTTTGGGAGGGATGCATATGGCGGAAATGGTGCAAAGTTTATAGGCCTGAAGTCAGACTTTTAAAATGTTTCTATTCTGCAAACGGGGATGACGAAAGCGCAGAGCGGCTGGCGGCTTATGCCAGGTCTTCTCACCTGAGCACCATTGGGATTGACATCTTTAAACTCTTGTGCTTCTCCCCCACCAATACAGCAAAATTCTGCCTTCTCAGAAACCTGGGCATTAGCCCTCAGTTGTGCAACCCTAAATGCCAAAAAGATCGCAAGTGAAAATGACATGTTTGAAATGCAATCGGATTCTGAAATGGGAGTCCTGAAATATCTTTAAATATCCTTACAGACCCTCCCAAGTGTTAAGATCATCAGAGGGGTAGGATTGGACCAGGAGAGGACATTTTCTGTGGAATTCCTTCCCCACAAAGGTGTATCTGGCTTTCCCCCTACACATCTTTTGGCCAGTGCTCTTTGGCATCTGAGATGTGTGTTTTCAAGACCCACCCAATTCCTGTGATGGCAATCTGTTTCAGCTGTGCTTAATTTTTAATTCCAAATTGTGACCTGCTGTGGCACTTTCTGGTGAAGGTTAGTCAATAAATGTGATGACAATACTTTGATTAACACGGCAGGAAATGGATCTAGGAAGCCTTCGGTTAACTTCTTGCCAAATTCCGAGAAATCCATCAGTTCAGATTCGTGTTCAAATGCAGTGTGCCAGGAGGCAGGGTAGACAGAAAGATAAAACAGGCAGGAAAAACCTGCTTTGTCTAGTGTGTGGCTCATCTTAACACGCCAGCAATATGCTGCTTGTACGAGTGCTCATTCCATCTCAGGTGCTGTGAAAAGGAGGTAATTCTTCACAGCGGAAAGAGATCTGGGGTGTGGAAGACAAGAAGCAGAGGAACCTGTAAACCTGTTCTTCCCAAATATAAAGCAAAAACAGCTTTGGTGCAGGACGTTGTTTTTGAGGCTCAGGATTTTTCTCCATGCCACCACCCTTTTGGCTCTGATACTGGTTTTCTTGACCACCTTCAAGTCTTGGTCCTTCCTTGAAACACATCTAGTCTGTTGTGGGGCACTGC